GTTGCCTGACCTTCCTGTCTCTTTGTAAGTGCTGAGAGATCAGGAAGTTTAGAAACATATTCATAAAATATCTTTCATAAGGAATCCACAGACTCAGATGTGGTTGAAAACAAAGAAGACTTAGATCTTACCAATGTTACCCAAGGCCTGTTTGGATCATCCTTACACCCAATGTTATCTATCAGCTGCGTGGCAGTCGACAGCAGCCTGTTTCCACTCATAGCAACCAACACTTTTGCCCCAGGTGGAAGTGGTTGCCAAAATGGGGACAGGATGAAGTCAGTCTCAACAGGTTCTCCCTGCTCTAGTAACTGAACACTATGATTAGAGCCAACTTCCTCCTCCTGATCCTGGAATCCACTAAAATCAGACTGACTAGGTAGAGGTTCTTGTAATCTTCTTACTGCCTATTTATCTAGGATATCCAATAACCTACTATTTTTAGTAGAAGTAGGTTGGTCTAATTGGGGATTAAGTCTCTTACCAATCACCCATAATTCTAAACTTTCTGCCAACTTGGGATCTTTCCAAAAGTGTTTTACATTTAGAAATTTACTCTTCAAGGCTTTGTTCCATCTATTTTTAAGTTGGATCTGCAATAATTCTTTTTTATCTCCTGCAGCTTGATTAATTTAAAAAATTTGATCGTAACAGACTACACAATCCAATGGGGAAAACAGGTTGTCTGAGACACAGCTGCTATGAATTATGCAAGCCAAATGAGGATCTAACTTACCGTAGTAATCTAAGTGGCCCTACATCCTTGATAATTACATGTAGTATGGTTCCCTTGGGTCCTGGGTGAAACTACTACTACTGCATTCACATCCTGATGGACAATTCCTTGTACTGTATGTAGTGTATGAGCTGAACTTTCCAGTCCTTGTAGCTCCTCACTCAACACTAGTTCCCCAGGGACAGTTCCATGGTCTCCTCCATCATCCAGCAGTCCAGACAATTGTCCTTCATCCTCCAGTTGCACATCACTCATCTAAGCTAGGAGGAACACTATGAGTCACATTGTATTATCATAATAATACAAGGGAGATAACATTTTCTCCCAAACATAATCAATATGACTCTTAACTGTGATATTTTAGTAAGTTATTTCATTAAATATCTCTTATTGTTATATAAGTCACCAGTGTGACAATCATAAACAACTAACTCACTATATCATACACCTCTCCCTTCTCGTATCTCAGTTATCCCTCAGCTCAATGAACTTTGTTTCTTATTCAACTTAACTTCATTTAGAGCATTTATATTTTGAGGGATCATCAAGCTCTCTATTTGTTGCCAGTCAGGGTGCACAGACATCATCGCTTCAGTTAATTAGCTTGAGCAATAATGCCTGAGTGAGCATCAAGTCACCCGGGAGGGTTGACAGTGCTTAGCTGCTACCATAGCGCTCCATTGGCTAATATCGTTCACCATTACTCTACCAAGATGTATTGGGTTGAGAATTCCACCCTGAATGGTTCTCATATAACCCATACTGAGGATACACTAAGACTCGCAGCCTCGCTAAAGTTCGCCTGGAAAGGCTGAACCCGCTACTGAGGACATGAATAGAATAGAGTTATGAAGAGAAAAACTTAACTCTGGCCTGCATGCTGAGAGTAATTATAAAACCCAGGGCAGAAGCCCGAAAAGTTTTGTGAACGAACATAAGAAGAGGGAGAGAGATAGCCACATATATCATGGTATTCATACTAGCACGTGTATAATTGGGACAAAGAAAAAAATTTTATACAGTATTTATATACATATATATATCTATATATATTCTTTCGGTGAAGACGAGCCCGTAAGGGCGAAAAACAACGTCATTCACTAAGTGACTTGAAAGCAGAGGATATTAGTCACTATCAATCTACTGTCTTCCTAATAGAAGACGAGCCGACGTCGCCATGCTGACCAGACAGTATAAAAAAATTTCCCAAATACAGTACAATATCTGAAAGACAAAAACAAAATTAAAGTCACTCGATTTCCTCACCGTGCTAAGATGTATAAATACCCAATATAAAAACCTCATGGCTCTTAGTATTTCAGCTATTACAACACAAATTAGCGGAGCCTTCTTTGTGCGCATTTACAGCTGATTTGCCAGGCAAGAAGATGACGGTAGCAATGCGTGTGATGGAGAGTGGGGGCGGGGGGGTGTGTTGAGAATTGCAATTAAATGTCAGGTAGTGACGTGTCTTCCTAATATTACGTATTAAGTAATTATTAGATGTTTTAATTGCCTGTATATTGGCCTGGCGAGTTATTGCTAGGCATTAACATAACTAGGTATAAAGCTAGACGTTGCATTCTGGATTGAACAAAAACAATAGAATACCTGTACTGTATTTTAACTTACTTTGAGGTGTGTATGTAGAATGTTGCTAGTTGAGGTGAAAGGTGGAGGAGAAAGAAAGTGAAGGGAATTGGAAGTGGGGGTGGAGGAGGAGGAGACGAGAAGCATTTTAATTGCTTCTTGGAAAGCGAATCACCTTCCATAATAATGTCAGGAACATCTGGAGTGACAGATTCTCTAACATGAAAATCCTTTGTCCTCCTATTTGGAGAGGGACACCGATAATTTCACCAATAAAATTTTAAGTTTACTACCTGTAATTACAGATTATTTTATTTAAACCAACACTGCACTGTATATTATCAATATGTTAACTAAATTTCAGAATGACCAATAATTTTAATGTAAAAATGCAAAAATATTCAAGAGCACAACAAACTCGATGTTTATTCCACTGGAAACAAAGGTAAACATAGAACCGATTTTGGGCGGACAAGTCGATCAGCAGATGCGCACACCAAAACCTGTTTCTCGCAAGGCTGTCGTTAATAGAATTTGTAGTCGTTAATCGAACTGAAAGTCCTTATGGGAGCTAACTCGTTAATGGAGGGACCACTGTAATGGGAAAATACTCTCACAAATAGTCAGAAACAAATTTATTAACAATGTAACAGTCTACCTTCAAGTCCGTGCTATATTAATAAAGTAATAAAGCACGGACTTGAGGGTACACTCACATTTTTAATAAATTTGTTTTTGATTATTTGTGAGAGGATTTTCCGATTATTTTTTATTTGTATGCATTTTGTGTGTGTGTGTTTTTACACACACACATATATTTATAATCAACGACCTCACCAGCCAGGACTCGAACCCTGGACCTAATGCATGGGACCAGGGAATGCTACCGACCATACCACAAGAGTGCTCTTGTGGTATGGTCGGTAGCGTTCCCTGGTCCCATGCATTAGGTCCAGGGTTCGAGTCCTGGCTGGTGAGGTCATTGATTATATGCTCAAAGTCCGCGTGTTATATGGACTAAAAATGAAGTACGTACACATATATTTACAATACAGGTAAAGGGAATTACTGTATCTATAACGAATGGCTCCTTGTCCCTGCCGTGAAAATGCCAGCAACTTTAAAACTACCCACAGACATTCTTGGGTACACCTAGGGTGTCATCCGCTAATAATAAAGGACAGCGAAATAAAAATCCACAAACTTGGGGAGGGGGGGGGGTGCACCTGTACTGCACCTTGTTTATAGATATTTATTTACTTGACAACTCAACTCATACATAATCTTTGTCCCAAGTCTAGTGGTCCAGTTACCCACCAGCTATCATGATGGATGCAAATCCTATGACATCTCAAGATCTGCCTCGCCTCTCCACACCCTCAGCAGTAGTGATATTCATCAAGGGTTGCTTGATTTAAGTGGCATTGATATAGTATTGGGTGTTGATGAGAGTAATGGGGAGGAAACCGACCCAGTTGATGTCGAGTTTGTTGAGGCAGACAGCGGTGAGGACAGTGATACAGACAGTGACGGTCACTTCTCCTCCCCATCCTACCAGCCACCCCCTCAGCGAGGTCATGGTCGGGATGGCCGTGGACGCAAGGAACTGCGTGCCCACCAGCCACAACAGTACGCTTGGAGTGGCTGTACTAATTTTATGTCTGAAATACCAATTTTCGACTGTGGATTTAAGAAATATTATATTTGCTGAAAATGCTCGCGTGGGGGATCCGGCAGTCTTATGTTGCCCAGGGCAAAAGGGTAAAGAAACACTTGGTGCAAACATCAATGAAATGGCTCAAGAAAACTAATCAAATAAACTTGGAAAACATATTTAGAATCCAGCAAATTTTTGTTGTTCTGTGCTGCACAATTTCTTTATAATCCTACTAACAAACAGTTGGGAGGGTTGAACAAGTAGGCAGTTGGAACCCTGCATACCTAGTGAGGGCACAAAAGGCCTTTAATTTGCATTAGTCATGATCCGACTTTTGAATAAGGCCTAAGATTTCTCAAAAAGGTGACAGCAGGAGGAGTTCTCTAAATGAAATTGAAAATAAAAGGAATAGGTAGTTGTAAGGGTATGGTTGATGGATAAATGAAGAATAATAAGAATAATTTCACATCTTCCAGCTCTGACTATATCAAGTCAAAGCAACCATGTGCATGTGTGTACTGCAACTGCACAAATGTCCTTGTAGTCATAAGTTTACAAAATCAGTGTTCCTTAGATTTCAATAATAATAACAACACTAATAATAATAATAATAATAATAATAATAATAATAATAATAATAATAATAAAGAACAGTAAAGAAATGCAAAAATAAAAAATCAATAGCGAGAAATAATATATGTATGTTGTGTTGTCAAAGTAAGAGAAACAATTGAAACCCAGCAATTGTGTGGAAATGAGGCAGAAAGTCACATCAGCATCCTGGGACTTGGTCACAATTTTTGTGATGCCATATGGCAGCAGGGTCTACCATTAGACAACACATTATGCTTCCAATATCTTCCCAGGCTGTAATACCTCCCTGTTTGGTATGATGTTTTTGGTAGTTACAGTACTATTTTTTTTTATCTTATTTTATGATGTATTATATTCCTAGTCACAGAACACATATGAAACTTCATTGTACAACAAAAATTCTCACTTTTATATTTTTACCAGATGACTGTAGGAAAGGACGTGGACGCTGGTATTTTGGAACCAGAAATATAACCAATAATGGTATTTCCTGTCAACGTTGGGACTCCCAAGAACCACACAGTCACCATCGACCACCTGATGTGTTCCCAGAGGTACAAAATGCAGAAAATTACTGTAGGAATGCAGGTGGTGAAGAACCCTCTCCTTGGTGCTACACAACGAATCCACTCATTAGATGGCAACATTGTAGCATTCCTCTGTGTGGTAAGTCATACAGTATTAGTATGTGTGAGTCTCGGAAATTTTAATCCCCTTCCCTTGACAACAGTATTAATAACGGGGAACCATTATCATCCCAAGATCTTCAACTATATATCCCACTTTTCAGTTCAAGGGGTTATGTCGGAAAATCCTCCCCTTGAGGGAATTTATTTTCCACAGCAATGATACGCAAATACTTGGTCTCTAATACAGGTACAGTATCTTTCTAGATACGAATGGGTTAGGTTCCCCAAAAAACATTCGTTACATGAATTTTTGTATCACCAATAGGAAAACATTGGAAAAAATGGGGTTTGGTTCCCCAATGACAAAAATATCCCAATATCATACCCCCAAAACACTAAATTAGTTCACAAACAAGAACAAAACCTACCTTACTAATGATAAATAATACACAACTATACACTAATTCACTGCCTAACACATGAAATTACTATGTAACACATAACAAAAATTATAAAATACTGTTTAACTTTGGTACATTACCTAGGGCAGTCTGGGCTGGGAGTGGAGTCTGGGCTCACCACCACGAGGGTGGACAGAATAATGCCCTTGCTAAGCAAGATGAGGAGGATTGTCCACTTCATCACTGTTGTTAGCGAAGAACACCTCATAGGTGGATGGAGTGAAAGAAAATTCACTTATGGAGTGGGACTGGAAGCTTAAAATGCTTTATAATGCTTTATTACCTCCAGTTTTGACTCAAGAGTCACAGCCTTTTGTATTGTCTTCAGCATAATATGGGTAGCAGAAGTTTCAGCAGAATGCTTGGATGCCATAACGAAACATTAATTAAAGGATGGCATGAATATACACAGATAGATATCACATCACACATAGTACAGTAGGGGGCAGGGAAAAAACACTTTTTATTTGAGTTGCAGGCTGCACTTTTCAGGCATCGTTTGTATGGCTGTAACAAACACCTGTGCAAAATTTCATGCCATTTCATGCATACTTACCCTGCCGCATCGCGAACGACTTTTTGTCAACTTTTAGTGTATACCAAAAATTAGGTGTCATTTAATGTTTTCCAGGATAATGATAAATTTTACATGGGTGACATCGATTTAATTCACATGTTATTTTACAGGTACACCGTATAGAAAATCATTACAAGTTCATATTGAAATTCTTTTTTGTGCGGAACCTTGGCATCATTTTCCTAGACAATAATCTTTGCCTAATATATCCATCTCTCGATTCGTATCCCGTCACTTCAGTGCAAGCTTCAGTCATCACTTTTATGCCTCTCTCGACCGCCTGAGTGCTGTTTGGCCACTTGGGCACCACTAATGGTGTCTCAAGAATGTCATTAACCTGTAGATTTGACAGAGAAGCAATGTAAGGAGGCTCAGTCTTGAGTTCATTCCTCCAGTTAATCATGGAATGATAGTTTTTTGCTTGCCACTTTAGTTTCGGAGTCACCACCTTTCTCATGTTGACTACAGGAGGCACATCCTCATTCCCATCTCCATCTTTACCCTCCTCATCAGTATAGTTTAACAAATTCTCGTCAACAGCAGCATCAGAATCTTCCTCCTCCTCTTCAGATCTGCCAGTGCATTCTTCCTTTTGCTGATTCTCCTCTCTAATTTTTCTTATCATTGAGATCGCTTTTTCTCTAACAGTCATGTCCTCATCTGCACACATACCAAGAAGAAGTTGATCTGTGTGGGCGAAGTATGCATTTCTCTGGACAGCCTTCTTCACTATCGTCTCCTCCTCACTATTCAGGTGTTTCATATATAGCAGGGACTGGAATACGTTCCTTGAGCCGTGTGTTACGTAAGGGTGTATCTTGATGTAAAACCACATTGGAGCACTGAACTTTATTATTGTAATGACAATTCTTTTCAACTCATGGCTGGGTCTTGATGTTGCTACATACAGCCTGAGGATTCTACTCCATAAGGTGTTCCACCTTGACACACAGGGAGGACCTGGCTCAATAGCAGCCAAGTCATCTTCAACAACACCTGTGATAACTCCTTTACAAATCCTATACAGGTATTTCTGATCCCAGGACAGATCTTTCTCCACTTCATCATTAAACACAGGGAAATCAGGGAAACTGACTGGCTGGAAGGCGACAACTGGAAGCTCAGACAAAGACTCCTTGATCTGCTTTCCAATGGGACCACGCCAATGCTCAGGACCACTTGGTTTACCATCATAGTGATAAAAAACTGCGCGGAAAGGCAGCTCATTTCCGTGAAGCTGACATATGAAATAATGGAGCGGGTGACCAAGTAACATTTCAAGATGATGAATGACTCCATTTTCTGATCCTACATTTACATTGGTTCCATCACAACCAACACACACAATGGGCTGCTGGGTTAGATTTTTCTCCACCAGAAACTCGTGAATAGTTTTGGCAATCTGCTTTCCGTGTCCAGTCTTGGGAGTCACATGTGTGAGATATTCATTGCCAGGCTCAACCATGATGACATAATGATCTTTCACCATCATCCTCGAACTCCATTTCTCGGTCTTCTCATTCTTTATCATCACACGAGTGGCGGTCTTCTTACCATCAAAATAGAGTGACGTCAAATTATCTAAACTAGCCATCTCAATTTCTTGCCTCTTAAATCGGTATTTTTGTCTCGCATCCCGCAGCTTATGTGGTCCAATAACCTGACTCTTGTCATCCTTTGTGATAATGCCATAGTCAGTTAAGGTGGCAGTAGCAATGGCAGCTCCAGCATAATCACTAATCAAGTATCGGTCACAAGCGGCAGCCAGTGTAGGGAGTCTTGTCCGGTTCTGTGAACAAGACAACTTAAATGAAATAAGAGATATGAAAAAAAAGTTGATAAACACTGAACAGAACATTGCACCGCCACAGCGGCTGTTTGGCTAGTACTGTAGGTAAATTTAAAAATTTCAGTAGAAAATGCGGCAGACTAAACCTCGACATATCAGCTTCAAATTTGGCTTGGAGTCTTAGATATGTATAAGGAACAATGCCTGAAGAGTGCAGCTTTGAGCAAAATTTCACTGCCCCCTATAGTACAGTACAATGAATGGTGGAAAAAAAGACACAGGCTTGTGGGAGATGTGGGAGGGGGATATGATCAGTGAGCAAGAATACATCTCTGCACTTCTCTCCCCAAAATGGTCACTCCAGCTCCAGCTGATTCCCGGCACGCGAAATTTGAATTTTTGCCCAGACCCAAATTTGTTAAAGCGGGGAAAGCTTTCGTTTCTCAAAATAGTGGTATCTATTTAGGAAATTCGTATAAGTGAATATTCGCCTCTCAAACTTCCGTATCTCGAGGGATACCTGTACACAAGTGTGGGGAGGTTGAGCAAATGGACTGGAGAGAAAATAGGTTCTAGAATAGTTCCTCCATCTACATTACCAAACTGATGCAAATAGATATTTAAATAATTGAAGTACTAACCTCCTGGACAATATCTCATATATAAAGGTAGGTTAGTTGCCATAAGACAACACAGAATTGATATTATTACCCATATGTGATAAAGTGTAATGAAAACCTCCCCCATTGAAGTATTGAAACTTATGAATTATTAGGTAAATAAGGTAAACAATAATGGTCAACTCCTACACTTAGATACTTAAAGTACCTCTGTAACATCAGAATTGTTAGAGGCCACTAAAAATTTCCTATGATGTTAAACTAAAAGTCTGGACTAATAGTACTGTACGGTATGTAAATGTAGTTAATGTTGATAAACTGAATCCCATCACCTTGTTAACATGTTAAAATGGTTCTGTCAGAGCATTCTTAACTTAATCAGAGCACAAATGAATATATTGAATATATATACAATTCCCATGAATCCCCCAACAAAGAAAAAATCGTGCTTCAATAGCCCTAATACAAAAATAGCTGACACCCCTGGCTGAATTGTCATATAAATATTTCAATTACCGGTAGTGATTTAGTATTGCAAGAACCGAGTGAAAAATTATGACAACCAGGGCCAGATACAGGCTGATGTAACTGATGCACTTGCATCGGTCAAAAAATCCTGACCGATGCAAAGGTATCACATGCATTGGTCAAATATTTGACCTATCGGTAACATGATGACCCATTGTCAGCCTTGACCAGTGTGGCCCACCATCTTCAGACCGTAGCTGTCACTTTCCATACCTGAGTAGGAGGTTTGAGAAACCGTTCCCAGAGAATGGATAATCAGAGCGGGGGCCTGGGGGTGGGGTAAGGTCACAGGTAAGGTTACACTCACATCACCTCCTGACCAACATCACCTGAACTCCAGCCGGGACTCCCCCTTGAGGCATCACGTAGCAGTCACCTTTGATAAAGTCTGGTAACCAGGGCTGGATTTAGGTTGTGAGGGACCTAAGGTTGATAAGAGGGAAGGGCTTATATACTGTATAGACATTTTGGGTAAATGGGGGTAAAGAGAGCCTATGATTAGAGGTAGGTGGTAGTGGGGAGGTCAGGTATCAGTGCAGTGTGTCATCAGTTATAAAATACATGTACTGTACTGTACCATACAGTAATGAATTTCAACTTCTCTTATGAGGTTAACTTTCCATTGACTTTATTTCATCAGTGATTAATTAAATACAGTCAACCCTCACTTTACGCGGTCCCACATTCCGCGTTTCCACCCTGCCGGAACCAGGGATGCTAACATTCCGCGGTGCGTGTACCCCTTTACGCGGGTGAAGTATAATTTTTTTATTTAGCTCATAAAATTCATACAAATTATCCGGCCAAATAATATAATTTACATTGCTGGAATTCTTACAATTTGATGATCATTTTGAATATAAGCATCATAGATTTTGCATTAGACATACAAATTTTAGATCTAATGCAAGTATTTTGTTTACTCAGCAAATATGTTATCTTTTGTGCAAAATATATGAAGTGTATATTCAAAATGTTCCTGGTCTTGCAAGGAATCCAGCAATGTCAATTATATTATCCTAACTTTAGTCTGAGGTATTATTTATTACTAAAAAGGTAAATATTCTTGTTTCTCCCAAACATTTATCTGGTAGGGAGGGTTGGTGGGGGGTGGGGGGAGGGAGGGACCGACTGACCGACCATCTGGCCGGTTGGAAGAGGGGGGGAGGCAAGGTGGGGTACTTTGATTGACAGATAGTGTTGTGAAGAATATTTTTTTTTTTTATTGACTGAAGATGTTTGTTTTAGCTCATAAAATTCATACAAATTACCCAGCCAGAATATAATTTACATTGCTGGAATTTTTACAATTTGATGATCATTTTGAATATAAGCATCATAGATTTTGCATTAGACATACAAATTTTATATCTAATGTAAGTATTTTGTTTACTGAGTAAATATGTTATCTTTTGTGCAAAATATATGACATTTATATTCAAAATATTCCTGGTCTTACAAGGAATCCAGCAATGTCAATTATATTATCCTAACTTTAGTCTGAGGTGTTATTTATTACTAAAAAGGTAAATATTCTGGTTTCTCCCAAACATTTATCTGGTAGGGAGGGTTGGGGGGGAGGGAGGGACCGACTGACCATCTGGCACGGTTGGAAGAGGGGGGGAGGCAAGGTGGGGTACTTTGATTGACAGATAGTGTCGTGAAGAATATTTTTTTTTTTTATTAACTGAAGATATTTGTTTTAGCTTATAAAATTCATACAAATTACCCGGCCAGAATATAATTTACATTGCTGGAATTCTTACAATTTGAAGATCATTTTGAATATAAACATCATAGATTTTGCATTAGACATACAAATTTTAGATCTAATGTAAGTATTTTGTTTACTCTGAGTAAATATGTTATCTTTTGAGCAAAATATATGACATTTATATTCAAAATATTCCTGGTCTTACAAGGAATCCAGCAATGTCAATTATATTATCCTAACTTTAGTTTGAGGTATTATTATTACTATACCTTAAAATCTAGTGGTTTTCCCCAAAAAAATTCTCAGAGAGGGAAGAGCCAGCGAGTGTAGTGTGAGAAGAGGGGGAGGGAGTTGAGTCCATTATTTGAATGGACATTAACTTGGCGACTGTATTTCTCTTAAATATTATTGTGTGAGCATACCATTATAAAATTTAGATGTTATTTTTACTAGAACATAGGTATTGTGTCGGAAAAAGTGGAGTTTGGGGGTCAGCCGGTCTCTATTTCATTTAATCCCATATGTTATGTTGTTCACTTTACGTGTTTCTCACTTTCCGCGGTACCCTGTGGGTTGAATTAACCGCGTAAAGTGAGGGTGTACTGTATATTTCTATGTAGAAAATAGATTTATTTAGATTCAATTAATATATATTATTTAAAAAAAAATTTTTAGTGCTGTACAGTATCAAATTTGTCTAATTTCCCTTCAACACTTTGGAAATAACGGAAAAAAGAAAAAAGAGTGGGCTCTTTTACAAGTTTTCCCGGTTGAAATTTTTGATCCAGTCCGCCACTGAAACCATGTCAACATATTAACATCTGTTTTATTCAGGGCATTTTAATAAGAGGACCTTTTTTCAGTATAGGGAGAAGATTTTGGTAGTCTTGAGGTCAAGGTCTCAGATGTCAGTCAAGATCATAGGTTGGGAGGATAAGCCACTCTGCTTTAGCTCTAGTTTTATAAGCATTTCAATTTTGAAGGTACAAAAAGGCTTCTGTGGTCAAGATAACACAATAATGGATGAAGAAAGTCTCAAATGCTTCATAATTTGTTGGTGATATAATGATACATTAGCATGATTTTACATTATTAAAGATTTAACTTGTTCTCTCTCTCTCTCTCTCTCTCTTCATAGGTGAGGGCCATGGTATAGATAGCAGTATGTTTCCACATGATCAGTTACATGGCAAATTATTGCCTAGTCCATGGCTGATATTAATTGCAGGAGGTGCTGGGCTTGGAGGACTCCTTCTCCTGTCTTTGAGTGCTTTGCTCATTCACAGATTGATGCACTCCCGTCATGGTTACTCATCCCCCAACACCCAGGTAAGAAAATTCTTATTATAGTATCTGTTGAATTAATATTATTGTTAAAGTGACCTCCTGTAGTTTTAAAGATCATGTTCAAAGGAATGTGCATCCTCTACAGTTTTGGAGATCTAGTTTGTTTGGCTGGTGTTCATGCCAGTTTTCAGAATAAGACACATGTTTGAATGTACAGTAATATACAGTACAGTATACTGGACACATGCACATAGTTAGCCTAAGGCATTTTAGATCACTACTTAGGAATATTGATTGTGGAATTGGTAATGTTTTTGTTCTCTTTAACTTTGCTTACCCTCCCCATTGGTTTTATCATTATCAGGAGGCAGATATAGACTTGACCAAGCTGCCCCGTAACTCTGCCTACCATCAGACCTGTGCACAGCTCAACCCAAAGCTTGAAAAACTTCAGTATGACCGTAACAGCATCATCTACATACGGGATCTAGGGCAAGGTGCCTTTGGCAGAGTCTTCCAGGTGTGTGAAACAGACAGTATGCTATAGAGAAAAAAAAGAGTGAGTGTTGGCATGTGTCAGGATTAATGTTGATCAGATAAATGTAAAAGCTAGTATCATCACAAGATCAGGAATTTCATCAAAACTTACTTGGTAAGAATAAATCCAATAGGGCATGACAGTCTATTCATATATAATTTTTAGTTTGATTTTTAAAATTGTAAAACAGACTGAGCTGACCACATGATGTTATCTTTTTCATAGGGAAATTATGGTGAAGTTTGTCCAGAAATGTGAAATGGACTGAGCTTACCAAGACTGACTTCCTTAACCCCTTTTGTATGGTTAAAAGTGGCATCCCCAAAGTGAAGGGATTAACATTTATCAGCAAGTTACTGCAAAGAAATATGGTTTTTCTTAATTTTCTGTAAGAATACTAATCAGAAATGCAAATTAAAATTTCAAACCTGTACAGTATATATGTACACTATGTGCAGATAGGCACACAAAAAAGTCTTGCGAGCAACTAGATTTTCAATGTGATTTTCAGCTGTTTGGGGTGTGTGTGTGTGTGTGTGAATATACACCAGTATTCATAATGTCTGATACTAATATCACTGCATGAGTATCACATAGCTTATACACATCATAATATTAAAGGAATGCTTCTCTACCAAGCAAATATTACAACACATTTTTTGGTATTGCAGGGTAAGGCACCAGGACTGATGTCTGGAGAAGAACTAACGATGGTGGCAGTTAAAGTACTGAAGGAAGAAGCATCGGAGGATATGCTTGGAGATTTTGAGCGTGAAGCATGCATACTTGCAGAGTTTGATCATCCTAACATTGTAAGATTGCTCGGGGTGTGTGCTGTAGGACGTCCCATGTGCCTTCTTTTTGAATTCATGGGTCGTGGGGATCTCAATGAGTTCCTTAGGTCATGTTCCCCCACCAACTACATAGTGCGTTCTTCTAATGGGGACACATTTAGTGACACTAAACTGACATATAAGGACATGCTGTGGATTGCTACACAGATTGCATCAGGCATGGTATATCTTTCAGACCGAAAATTTGTTCATAGAGATCTTGCAACCAGAAATTGTCTTATTGGGGAAGATATGACAGTCAAGATTGCAGATTTTGGTCTATCTCAGAAGATTTACATTGCTGACTACTATAGAGGTGATGACAGTGATGCCATTCCTATTCGCTGGATGCCTTTAGAGAGCATTTTGTACAACAAATATACAGTTGAAAGTGATGTTTGGGCCTATGGGGTTTGTTTATGGGAAATATTTTCTTTTGCATTACAACCATATTATGGAATGACTCATGAGCAGGTTGTATGTTTTTTGAAGGAAGGAGGTATCCTGTCATGTCCTGATCACTGTCCTCCTGAGGCATATGCAGTTTTAACTTGGTGTTGGCAACGGCGTCCACACGACCGCCCATCGTTTTCTGTCTTACATCAAGCATTGATGGACCTGTCTGCTGGTCGATCTGTAATGGTACCCATACCGCCACCTAGTTCAGCCATGTCAGGTTCGGCTCCTGCCACCCCCCGCCCATGTTCTTGTGCACCTGAGCCTTCTGTTCAGAATACTTAAACTACATGCTGATGGAAGTCATTTGGTTTTAGAATATTGTTACCATATTATTTCAGGCATCAGAAATTTTAGTAGCAAGTGAGGCAATAGTAAATACCCTTTAAACAGTTGAAGATAAACAGATTTATTTTATTCTGATTTTAACAGATGTCTTGGAAATATGATACTGTACCTCCACTGACTTTATTTTGAAAATTTTCAGCAGATTTAGAACTTGGGAAAAACTGGTGTATATTTTTAACAGCTTTTTCTTTAATATTCCACCATTGCTTCATGGTACAGTTTATGGGACATTTTTACAGGTTACAATGAATTCCCTTTTCCTGAAATGTAGAATTTGGAGGATGACAACTTACCAGTAAATGAAAAATTTTGAAGGATGTTGATTTTTGAATGCTCGGTTTAACTTGTGTGATATACCCTCATTCTTACGCGATTTGATATAACAAGATTCACATCATTATGATAATGAATACAGCTCCTTTTTTAAACACTGTATCTCCACACCAACATGGTTTTTATATAAATGATTCACATAGTGATCCCATGGTGGGGGGCTCCAATGTTTAATGTGAGGAAAATTATTTACTCTTCTCTTTATCATGTTTGAACAAGTAGCACAAACTTTTTAAAACTACATATTGTAAGAAAATCTCATAGCTAATGTAATGCTTAAAATTTATTAGTAATAGGATCTTCATTGATATACTGTACAGTATGGTTTACTGCCAAAACTAGCCAAGTGAAAGATGACAAATGCAGGTGGTGTATTCAGTGCATTAGTCAACAGTTGATATATTGAGTTAGGTTAGGTTAAAGTAAAATCCAAACGCAAAATTTCTCTTTCTGGTTATTTTGAAAACAACCACAATGCGTTGTGGTCGCTTTTCGGTTTATGAGCCCAACATATATACATATACAGTATATAGATACAGTTTATATACAGTGGGGTATGCTATAACGAACGTAATTGGTTCCAGAACCTCGTTCGTTATAGCATTCGTTCGTTATAGGATTAATCCGTTCCAGGCCCCCAAATACAACCGCTTAACACTGAAAAAATTCTGTGGAAAATGTAAAAAATACGGTACTTTATCTTACCTTAGTGTTATTCAGCATGCAGGTACCCCTAAACACTGGCACAGCACTATCACTTCCACTGGGAGTCTTGGCTTTAAGGTCCTCAAACAATTGTTTAGCCTTCTCACAAATTATAGCTTCACTAATGTTACCACCTGCCATTTCTTTCTCCTTTATCCACACTAAGAGTAAATTTTCCATCTCTTCAATCACATTACACCTTGCTTTGCTAAGTCTAAAGATTCCCTTAGCCACTTGCACAGTTTTTAACTCCTCTTTATTCTTCAAAATCGTACATATAGTCGATTTAGCCATCCCATATTCATCACTAAGTTTCGCAATGCTTCTTCCATTCTCACGTTTCTTTATAATTTCTTTCTTAGTTTCAAGGGTTATTAGCTTTCTCACTCGCTTTGGACGACTCATTGTTACAATTGTATACTTGTATAACAAAATAGTTATACAAATAACGCCAATTTCCACATCAAAAGACGAAATTTCAACAATAACAGTGGTGCACTGGCTACACAATGAGACAAAGATGGCGCCTGACGCTCTTGTTGTGGGTCGCGGTATAACAATATTCATGCGCCAGGCGAAATAGTCCGGTATTCATCCTCGTTCGTTGTAGGAGTTGCGTTCGTTATAGCATTCTCAATTTTATAGGTAAAACCGTTCATTATAGGAATATTCGTAGTAGGATCCGTTCGTTATAGCATACCCCACTGTATATTGAAAGAGAGTTTACATATTTGCAGGATTTCACAAACAACTTAATGTTGCAGTAAATCATATATGTTACATTGAAAAATAATAATATTTTTATAAAATGTTCCAAACATTATTTATACAGACTTACATGTTTTCTAAGACATACTCCTACAAATACACATTATTTTGTACAAATACACTCATAAATACATTACTTTTAGTACCTCTTTGTACACATAACTATGCATAAATATACATGCATGTACACATATTCACACATTAGACATACATTACAGTGATATCTGTTAGATGGAACAAATGGTGAGGAGCACTTCCGGGAATGAGAGATTTCTGGGTAACCAGACGACTTTCTCAAAGCCGGAAAAAATCCCTCATCCCAGGAATTTTCCAGAATTTTCCGGGTAATGGAAAAATTTTCTTGGAAGTTTCAGAAATTGCCCATTACATCATCTCTTGAACCCGGAATAATTACCTCATCCCCAGAATTTTCTGGGTAACAGAAAAATGTTCTTGGAATTTCGGGGAAAATGCGCCTGATTTTCATTTCTCAAACCCGGAAAAAACTCCCCCCATCCCTGGAATTTTCCGGGTATCGGGAAAATTTTCTCAGAATTTTCGGAAAATGGGCCCCTCAGAAAATCGTTCCCAAAGCTATCGGAGAGTTCTGGGTTTGAAGGATTCCAGTTAGCAGAGGTATTACTACAGTACTTGCTTTCTTGTAACGACTCATTTACAACTTTATGTACAATAATACTATTAGTATAGAAATACTGTACAGTACTGTCAACTGTTTAAACTTTCTCATGCAGACACTTAACCCTCTACACCAATGGTCCCCAACCCTTAGCATGGAGTCATATTAGGGAGTCCGCAAGGGTTTATTAGAAAATTGTGAAGTAATTGAGAATCTCTGTTAGAGTGAAAGTAATGAAAATATGTAGTAACTTGATACGACCTTAGAGAGGAACCCCATTTGTCTGAAATCTATCGTGTACAGGACATGTGTATTTACCACAGACCGGGGCCCAGAGAGAGAGAGAGAGAGAGAGCTAGCATGATCCAAGAGTAAATGTAAAAGTATGTAACCAGTAACAGTTAAACAGACTAGTGTAAAACGGCATATACAGATGCTCCTCTACTTAAGAAACTTCGACTTACAAATTTTCAGAGATACAAACATCATTACTGACGGGGGGTTACCTGACAACAGAACATACATACTGTATATTGCTTCTCACTCTTGGGGTTTTTTTTTTTTTCTTTTTGGTTCTTTATTATTATTATTATTATTGTTATTATTATTATTATTATTATTATTATTATTATTATTATTATTATTATTATTATTACCGTATTATTATTATTTTTATTATTATTATTATTATTTCATTTTTGTCCCCCAGGCCCCAATGTGGGTCAGTGACCTGTGCCCACGTGGGCTAATCCCCGTTAAAAAATAAAAAAATTAAAAAAATGTGGATGAGACTGGATTATTTTGAAGAAAATTCCAGATAGAACAAACATTACCTAACAGGAGAAGAGTGAGCCAGGTTTTAAGGCTGTATTAAAGGATATAGCTGTACTAAATATCCATAATCTTTTCATTTTTTGTAATATGTTTGGTATCTACAAGAGTAAAGTTGGACTTACAAACAATTGGACTTACAAACAAGCCTCAGGAATGTAACTCGTTTGTAAGTAGAGGAGCACCTGTAGCTGTTTGGTATATATGAGTTTTTTTTTAATGTAGATCCAAAGTTTTGATGCCCTCCATTATATTTACAATGACAAATGTGGCCCAGAGCCTACAAAAGGTTGGGGACCACTGCTCTACACACATATGCCCCCCTCCCCCATCCCCTGCTATAAATACAACCGTAACTTGCCCAGTTTTCACTCCCTCTTCCTCCTCACAGAGAATGTACTCAAGGTGGGATGCAAATACTAGGTATATACCACGGGCTTTGGGAGGTTTTATTTTACCGGGTATTTAATTTTTTTCTTACATTAATATTTGTTACACAGTGAAATAGGAAAAAGTATGTGGTTGTGTGGCAGTACATTTTACAGCACACTTACCAGCCCTCTTCACAAAGACATTACACTGATCTTTTGATCACTAGTAAAAAAAAATTTTAATTTGGCATTTTCATGTAAAGATAATGTTGTACAGTATAAGGATGTATAACATCTCTTGATGAGGGTGAAAATTGCAGTACAGTAATGGATAGTATCAGTGGTTTCCCAAATGTACTCCCTATTGTACCATTACATAAGGATTCACAGTTATGGTACATGATTTCATAATTATGTGATCCCTATAGGGACAAAACCTCGCGTAAAAATGAGGGTTTACTCTGTATAGGATGTAAATATATACTCTTTTATTCCGAGAATGGTTGTTTAAGAAGCAAAATTTGTATTTCCCAAATACTGTAGGCTCAGAGTATGGATTTTATTTTCGTAGCCTTTGTGATATTTGAAGATAACAAGAAATGCTAGCTGGTTTTATTAGTGAATGAAATTGTAGCATTTTCCTAATTAAATATTTTGAAAGTACTGTACCTGTATATTGGCATCTGAATTTTAAGTTGAAGTACTGTATATTATAGTTATGATTTTAAATTTAATTTTTTTTAGCAATACAAATACTGTATATGGAAGATTAAAAGTTCATTACACAAGTTGAACAAAAAGTAAGGAAAGAGTGATTTGGTCCTTAAATTCTTAAACATTGCATGTGTTTTAGCATTTCAATTGCAATTATTTTAAATTTAACTAATATTAATGAGGTTCCATATACAATCTTCAGTCATTATCTCTGATTTAATTAATCTGTTGGTAATATCTTCTTTTGTAATATAGCTCAAGCCACAATATTGTCTTATAATAAGTTAATAGAGAACTTACTTCTCTTGTAAACACAAAGTTGAGAGAATGAGGTGAGAGTAGTGTTAAGATATCACTCTCCCTTGAACTATAAGTGTCATACTGTGCAGGAAACTAATGATTTTACTGTAAACTTTTTAAGATATCTTAAATAGTTTCCAGAGCAATGTGGTAGAAATTACATTAAAATGAAGAAAAGGAAAGGAGAGTCTAATGTCTAATTTACAGCTTTCCAGAGTTGACATAATAATTAGTAAATAAGATAATCTGAGGTTTGGTCCCGAAGAAAAGATATGTATCAGGGTATGTAATTTAATTTAGTGTGTCAGTCTTGTATTTCATAATTTTCTTTTGACAGTATTATTGCTCTAAAGAAACAGAAAGCTGTGCGTGACCAAACAGAAATTCGTGTACATGGACCCATTAAAGGGGATTCAGTCACATGTAAGATATTCAAAGTTGTTATTTTCTATTTACATTCCAAAGTAGAAAGTCTTAATTTTCATTATGAATTTAGGTAACATATTTGTATCCAGGATAGCATTTTGTAATACTGACAGAGAAACACTGTAAACTTTAAAAAGCACCGAGTGCTTATTGTACTAGAGTTAACGCTGTACCAAATGAAATCACATTACAGTATATTTAATATTTTGTAGCCACTTTCTCTCCCCATCTCAATTTTATGTGTACAGCATTTTATTTTATTTTTTCTTCTTTTCAGAATTTGCATCAAAATTTTATTTTATTTATTCTAATGTTTGAATTTGTTATTTATGAATTAAACTTGCCGTATCAAGTTGCACAATATAATGTAAATTTTCTTGTACAGTATTACAGTGGAGTCATATAATTACATTATTACAAGACAGCACAGTACAGGCACATGGTTTCTTTGGGAAAATGGGAGACAGATTCTGAAAAATACACAAATCATTCTACATTCTGTAGAAATACAGGTACTTGCAGCCATGTAATGGTTCAGCAGCAGTCATATGATGCAGTTGTGATGTGGCATGATGTCGTGCAAGATGACTCAGTGGTGAAGTTGTGTGATGCGGGGTCTCTCTGCTAACATCTGGGTGAGGTTGTGTGAGGGAGCCTAACTATGCCCACACCATCAAATGTTTGAAGGTTTGGGGAATTGATGGCATGGAGTTGGCCTATTTAACTTTCCCTGCACTCTGCTAAATGCCATATTTGCCGGCGTATAAGACACGTTTAATAAAAAATTATCATAAATTACCCTGCGTCTAATGCGCCCGTATTATGGATGGGAGGCCGAGCGCCGTAGGCAGAGGTGCCTAGCTAGGAAGTTTGGGA